GGTGATGGTTGTAGAGATGAAATGAGGGAACACTAGAAACGTAGTGGCATAGCTTCACAACTGTACCCTAGTGGCTAGTGAGCTTATTATCTCACTCTTTGATGGGTCCTATTCATGAAACTCTTTCAATAAGAAGGCAAAAGTGGCAGGTGTAAATCTGTGGAAAGTTAGATACTACTGCCTCTGTCCTTTAACAAGGGAGACAAAAATATTAAAATCAGAAAAACCTCATTACATTTATCTTCCTCTGTTTTCTAGGTTTGTTTTATACTTTACTGTTTTTCATAAGTCAAGTATGATAACTGCAGGGACAAGATACCTTGTTTTTGCAAATTACCTTATGTAGTGTGCCTACTCAAAAAAGAAAAGACAAGAAGCTTACAATCCTAGCTCCAGTCAACCTTAGCGTGTCTAATGGCAGATTCTCTAGCACTCGGCCTCTCCCGTGGCAGCTGGGCCCCTTCATCACAGCTTCTGGGCTCACAGATTTGAAATTGAAAGGAATCACTTCCCTTTTAAAGTTTAACATGGATAGCTAGAATGCCTGATCTTAAATCTGACAGTTGTGTCATGGGTACTTTCTGAAGCAGTTTTTACCAGTCTTGGGATATTTAGGGTTTATATCCATTTATGCTGATAGCACCTTAAGTCTGGCCCTTTTCATGTGAGCTAGCATAACTTTCCAGAGCCAAAAATAAACCAAAAATTAAAATAACTAGCCAGGGTGGAAAAGTTGACATTCTGTAGGTCAGGGCACAGACAGGAAAGCAGCTGCCCTGTCCTGCGGCCTCCTCCAGGCCCTCCCCTCAGCACACCTTTGGCCACAGTGACAGACGTGCAAACACAGCAGGCACCCAGGGCCTGCCCTCTGCTGCAGGGCTCCCCTCGTCACTTCAAAGCTGACAGGAACAAAGGCTGTGGAATGGTTGAGAATCTAATACCAATTTATCATGCCATCTCAAACACAGGGGAAAAAATGGCAGTAAGGAAGAGCTGAGAAATAAGACAAATAAGGAAATGAATTTATTCCTAATGTGGTGAATGAAAGGAGAGTACTTTTCTAAAGCAGTGGTCCCCAACCTTTTTGGCACCAGGGACTGTTGTCATGGAAGATAATTTTTCCACAGACCGGAGGGGGAGGGGAATAGTTTCTGGATGATTCAAGTGCATTACATTTATTGTATACTTTATTTCTATTGTTATTACATTATAATGTATGATGAAGTAATTATAGAACTCACCACAGGTTGGGGACTCCTGCTAGAAGGTTACTGCTCAGAACGTGAGCAGGGAATCCTAACACTGGAAGGGCCTTCAGAGATCACCTACCTCCTTCAACCTGTAGTTTCACATCTGAGGACACCAAGTCCTAGAGAGTTTACAGAACATTTGGAAATACATTCTTTTCTCTTTTTTTAGATGGGGTCTTGCTGTGTTCTATTCTTGATAAACTTATTATTACAGGTGATTTGAGACTATGGGATGATATCTTGAGTTGCCATCTTAGAAAAATCCCTGATGTAGTAACTTATTTGAGTGCTATATCTACTCTTTCTCATGAAGAGAGTGAATTATAATAATAAAGCTCCACACTCCCTTGTTTAAAACCCTGGGATCCAGACAAGTTTCTAAGTTGAGATGTTTTCACATTTCAGGAAAGCACTACTGTAGCACATAGAGCATGTGCTATAACTCCCCCTCCCCTGGGATACTCATTCAACATAGTGTCTTTTCTTCAGCAAAACATGTGAATGTTTACACTAAATAGGATAAAGACTATATATAAATAGCCCAATATAAGGTCAGGTCAAGTTTTCCTGCCAGACAAATTTTGGTGTTATAAAAAGAACTTAGTTTTAATCGTTTTTTAAATTGTGGAATTGGGGATAAGAAATTATGGATCCATAGGTAACACTGACATGCCAGACAGACACCATGCTAAATGCTTTATGCATTATCGCATTAAATCTTCACAATAGCATTAGAAGGTAGATGCTTCTGTTAGTCCCATTTTACAAGTGGGGGAAATCAATACAAAGAGGAGTAAAGTAACTTGCCCCTGGTCACACAGCTAATTACATAGTAGAGCTAGGCTATGAGCCAAAGCTCAGATTTACTAAGGGCTTGTGTAAGGCAGGCATCGTCCCAAGCGATACATGTTCTGACTCATTTGATCTGCATGCAACCTCCAAGATAGTCACTATTACTATCCCCACTTAATAGCTAAGAGGCAATAGGAGATTATAATATGTGCCCAAGGTTCAGTCTGATAGCTAGTATGATTCCAGAGTATGTGTGCTCAGCTACTGTGCCATGTAGTATGATTTCTTAACAATGAAACAACTGGCTGTGAGATTGAGCAAAATTAATTACTACATTAAAGGCTAGGGCAGCTCTCCCCACTGATTTCCTCAGATACTCGTTTCGATGTTGTTGCCCTTATACTTGGATCTATTCAGTGCAGATTTTATAATTTCCTTACATGAAATAATTTTCTATGTGTACCTTTACATCTGCTTGCAACTATTCCCCTGTCTCATCGCCCTGCCTTATTTATTCATAGAGTATGAATGAGTACATGTCATCACTTCTGTAATGTGTACGGGCACGTTTGAGGGAGGTCTGATTTTCACACCCCATCCCCACCCCACCCCAGTAGACCAAGGTCTCACCAAGCCATCCTGGGCTTTCCCCTTGAATAGAATCCCAGGCACAATCAACATGAAAAATTTCATCCTTGATGTTAAAAGAGATGTGAATGCCAATTTTCTTGTGGAATTATTCTAGAAAACCATCTCATTCTTTGAGTAACTCTTTGGGTCACTATATTGAGCCGGTGGGTTACACTAGCAAGTGGGAGGTGGGAGAGGCCTCTTCTGCCTCCCTCAGCAAAATGCTGCAGTTCTGTAGCAGAGCTTTGCTCACTCCAGGGAAGCATATGGTTTTTTTAAAGATGACCTGACACTGAAGATAGCAAAATAGAGTAGAATTCACCATCAATTACCAAAGGTTTTGTTCAGATCCTAGATTATTGTCCCATCTGGGAATAGTCCCCTTTCCTTATTGTTTAATCCAGATTTACCAGCACTAGGATGGCCCACTCCAGTGAAGATACCCCAGAATTATTCTAGCTGGCCATTTTTCACTAACTGTCCCTAGCCTCATATAGTCAAGAGGTACATGTGGTCCATTTTCTTGTGAAAATGATTTTGCTCCTGCAGTAAAACACCAGCACTGTTGACAAAGAAGGGGCACTCTAAGCTTTTCACTTTCCTTGATGATGGGTAGTTTTTCCTGTAGGCTCTCAGGGTTGTGCTGTTCTGGAACATGCCAGTGAATCATTGCTGAGTGTGCAGCTGCAGTGGCTCGAGTGTCACCGCCAAAGCAGTGGCTGCATTCAGTAATACCCTGTCAGGCCACCTCAGGAAGAACTTGGCTTACCCCTCGTCATGTGCCCTCATGAAGCACAGGACTGTCCTATGTGGACGTTTCCCCAGGGGGTATAAATGGCTTTACTGGAAACTACTGAGGTAGCAGAATGCCGGTGTCCTTTTCTGGAGGCTCAGGGAAGCCCTATGAGGCTACAGAGTGCAGCTATTTGCACCCCCGCCGCTTGCAGAACTGTTCCTCATTCTTGCCTGTCTTCCTCGCTCCTCATCTCGTTCCCTGCTGCGAAACTCCAGTGCTGTCACCACCTCTGAGTGTTCCCACTGCTTCTACTGCACTCCACTGTCCTTTGCTCTCTAAGTTTCTTTTCTCCTAGTTCTAGCTCATTCCCTTGTCACTTTTCCTGACCTGAGCATTAACCAGGCACAGCACACTGGGAGTAACCTTTGATTCTTCTCAGATATTTTCTCTGTCCTTGTAAGCTCAAGAGCTACTTTCGTGCAGCGGGAGGTCTTTTCTTTTCTTTTTTCCTTTTTTCCTTCCTTTTTTACTGCCAGATACAATGCCATTCTGGTTGCCAGAGGTAGTCTGGTCTCAATATAAGTGCTTGTATTTCATTTATACCATACTAGACTACACAGTTACCACAGTAGAGTACTGCTGGGTTGATGTTGAAGTACTTTGTAGGGTTCACTGTAAATCAGAATTTTATAGAAAGATGGATATTTTACATTCATTTTTGTTTAATGCCAGCCACCCTGAGTAACATGATTTTGGGAATCAACATATTCCTAAGATAGCCCATTGTATGGCAGATGGCTCAAGGCCAAAAGAAATACACAGTTTTCATTTGTGTAGGGTTTTCTTTTCCAAAATGAAAGATTTACTACACCTGAAAAATAAAATAAACACTGTAGTATATAACTAAGCATGTACATTAGCAATTTAATTAGCTACAGCCTCTCCTGGGTGAACATGGATCATGAAGCAACTTCAATGTACACTGCACAGCGTTCACCGAGGCTCAGCCTGAGTCATGTGTCCCCAACAGGGCACAGACCAGAAGCCTGAAATACAAAGGGTGGGAATGTTCTTAAAAGCCAAAGGAGATTTTTGCATATTTATGGATTCTTTTACACAATCTATTTCTAGAGTAGATCATTTAGCTTTCATGTTCAAGATATAGAGGATATACTTTTTTTTCTTCCTCTGAAAGAGACTTATTTTCATTCTTCAACAATAAAAAGCATGGCACAATATATTTAACTCAACATAGACTATAGTCAAATCAGACTTGTATTATTTCAGAAGAAAATATTTAATGAATCTGTTAATTCACATTGTGGGCGATAGCTGTACACACAGGGCAGGAAATTTAGTCCTGGGAAGGAAGAAAGGCTTACAGTGTCCAGGCAGTCAGCCTATCTCAGGCATTGTCTTGATTTCCCCCCTGGTACTCAGAGTTTACACTAGGTGGCATGCAAGGAAAGCTGAACACAGTCAGAAACGCGATTCTGTGCAAGCTGGGTTCTTTGGTACTCACCGTGATCGAGGGTTCGGCTCTGGTTCGCTGCTGTGTTTGTGATGGCTTTTCTTTTCTCCCCTGCCCCCAGGATGAAGTGTCCCCTCGCTGGTACAAATAAAAGATTTCTAATTAACACAATTAAGAACACATTGCCCTCCCACAAAGAGCAAGAGCATGAACAAAAAGAGGGCAGTAAGGAACCTGCGAAGAGCCAGGCCCAGAAAGAAGAGCACCCGAAGCAGCACCGAAGCCACCCTTACAAGCACAGCTTCCGTGCCCGGGGCGCGGTCAGCTACTCGCCGCCGCGGAAGCGCAGCGCCCGGGACAAGCGCGAGCCGCGGCCCAGCCGGCGGTGAGGCCCGGGCCCAGCGGCGGGGACAGGCGTTGGCTGGCAGGGCACACCTGAGAGCCATTTCTGCAGTAGGTCCTTTGTTTTTGTTTTTAAAGAGGCTGCTGGCAACAGGCAAAAAAAAAAAAAAAATGACCTGGCGACTCTTAAAGGAAACCAGTACAAAAGAAGATGTCTTGGCAAGTTTAAGCTACTTCAGCAGTGTTAGAATACATGTGTATTATTTTTATTCCATCTTGTTTGGAAGCGAGTTTCAAAATAAGCAAATCTAGAATTTAAAATGTTCAGAGATTGTTAAAACTAGTTCCAATTTTTTTGTGTGTCATTTCTCAAAATTTCTCAAAAAATAAAATACTTCTAAATCTTATACTTTACTTTTTTGGGATTTCAATTTTAAAATTTAGAAATCATCTGATCGGTGACCATAATTATAAAAATTTGTAGCCCCCTGAGGGCTGGGAATTTACCAAGAAACTCTTTGATGGCTCTGCCTTTGTTTTCCTTTAAGTGAACAATGAAGGGAATTCTCCAAATGGCTTTGAATTTAGTGCTCCGAATCAACCACCAGAGGTTAAAAAATCGGCCTGGTTGTTTCTGTGAATTCTGACTCATTCCTTAGATAGAATGATTTTTCTATATTTAATATTTTTGGAATATATAGGTTTTAAGTGGTGCTTTAAAAAGAACCCTGACAAGTTAAAATAAACATAATTATTTTAGTGCTAGATCTTATTTAACTAAAAACTTATGATACCATAATTAATATAGTTGTTCCAGAAATTTTCATTTTAAATAAAAGCATTTTACAATGCTTTCCCCCCAATGCCCACCCCAGTATGAGTTTTCAGTATCTGTTTTAACATATTACAAACCCTTCAAACCTGTATTCCTGCTTCATACTCAGAATGTCACCAAGCTCCCCACTCCCCAGTTTTCCAAAGCATCCCAGTGGGTGCCTGGCTGCCCCTAGATAACCACTATGCCACAGCCCTGCTCCCTGCTCCCTGCTCCCTGCTCCCTGCTCCCTGGCAGCCAAGAGGAGCCCTTTCTACATGTTAGAAGGAAATACATCAGAAAATCAGCTTTGGGGTATTAGAAACTAGAATAGACCACTCCCCACCACCACCACCACCAAGCTGCCGTGCCACTCCCTCAGTCTGCTCAGGAGTGACAAACCCAAAACTTCTCACCCATCCACCCCTCCTTCTCCCACCCCAGGGACTCATCCTGTGACTCTAACCACACACATTCATACACACAAGAGGAATCATTTGCTTCATCTGACTTTTCATCCATAAGAATAGTGAGACTTAGGAGTGAAGAGGTCTCAGAGGCACTTTCTGGTACCGTAAAAAACATTCTGTGATCCAAGGAATTAGAGAAACTACCTCTACCTTTTCAGAAGTAGCCAGATCATAGGTCAAGCCCCACCCCTTAGCTCCTCTGAGTCTGATTACTGAGAAGGGTATTTTGTCTGAGGGAAACCCTTGTTCTAAATTAGGAAAAGATTGTCAGGAAGCTCGCCCTCCCAAAAGAAGTAAGTAAATTAATTAATCTCCATTAAACTGGCAAGTTAACATTGTAAGCAGAATTCAAAGGCAGTTTATAAATACATTTATTTAGCTTGCCCTATTATAAATCTTAATGAACATGAGCATGAAAAGACCAATAAAAAACATAGATTTGGGAGCATCATTAATAATTGATAAGATGAACTATTTCTCCCATCTATATAGCTCTCTAATTTTCACCTTTGGTTTTAATAACATAAAATCTCCCTACATGAAACAAATTCCAGATATAACACATCTTATGAAATGTCTGAGGGAGATATTTCTCCTCCAGATAAATGTATAGCTTGCCCTCAGTGGTGGTCTCCTGTCCTTCATAAATTGTTTTTTCTCATTAATTCCTCAGGGGTAGCTCTCTGGAGATGAACCAATGTATACTGTCCAATTACAAGCCTCTGTTTACTCTGAACTACAGACCTATCAGTCTGCTGGGTAGTCTTTCAACGCTCAATGCCAGTTTACAAAGGAAAAGTCACAAGACTCGTTTTTAATCCTATATCCTGCATGAAGAAGAAACCATTGGTACACCCATTCATTCTCTCACTCTCTCATTCAGTGAACACTTAGAGACAAGCACGTGCTGGGCCCAGACCTGGACGATTTAAGCCCTGTCCGCAGAATCTTCTTGGCCATGTTTGTGTCTTCCATATTGGAAGGTATGGAGTATTTGTTCAGCACAATATTTGCTTCCTATAATTTTTTTTTGGCCCAATCTTCTATACTGGTGAAGCAGTTGGTGGTTGTTCATCAGCACAAAAGCAGTACAGAGTCTTTTATTTTGTTAAAGAGTAAAAATTTTGATTTTGATTAATTCTAAAAATATATATCTGATGAATCCTAAAAATATGTATGCAAATCTCAAAAAATATTAATAGACACAGTAGACAACTTATATAACCAGCTCATGTAAAACTACTAGAAATATACTGGGAACACAATGAAAAATTGGTAAAGATGAAATTTTCATGGAAGAGGAAACACAAACATCAAGTAAACATGAAAAAAATGTTTGAGTCAACAGTGAACAAAAAATGCAAATTAAAATGATTTTTTTTTCACCTTTCAAATTAGCAAAGGTCTTGAGGGTTTTGTTGTTTTCATATTAAGTAATTCTGCTGACAAGGGTATGGTAATCCAGGTACTCTCAAAAAACAATCTGTGAGATGGTAAAATGGTCCAATATTTCCAGGAATCTTTAAAATGTTCTCTTTTGTCAACAAAGTAATCCTGCATCCAAGAGTTTCACGGTTCGGTTTCGTGTTTGGTTTCAGTATGTATCTGGTATGGGCTGAACTGTGCCCTAACTTCCCGTACCTCAGAATAGGACTGTATTTGGAGACTGGGTCTGTAAAGAGGTGACTAAGGTAAAATGAGACTGTTAGGGTGGGCCTTGATCCAATGTGAATGGTGTCCTTTTAAAAAAAGAGGTGAGGATGCACAGAGAGACACCAGAGCCTCATGCACACAGAGGAAAGGCCGTGTGAGGACACAAGGACAAGGCTGCCATCTGCGAGCCCAGGTGGGAGGCCTCAGGAGAAACCAACCCTGAAAACACCTTGATCTTGGACTTCCAGCGTGCAGATCGGTGTCAAAATAAGTTCCTGTTATTTAAGCCACTCAGGCTGTGTTACTTTGTTATGGCAGCCCACACAGACAATAAATACATAAACAGTATCTTTATCTAGATGCTTGCTAAAACTGTTTCTTATGTGATTACTTAGCTTTCTGTTCTTGTTTTAATTATTCTGCTTTAGAACTAAATGAGCAAACAGAGCAATAATAATATCAATGTAAAAATCTAAATCACAAGTCTCTTTCATGTTAGCTATGTTCATTTCCCCATATCCCAACACATTATGAGGTTAGGATGCTCTTTTACAGAATGCAGTATATGCTCTGAATTAGTAACCAATAAATTGTTTCCTCCCAAAGTCAGGGTACAACTAGTCTAGAAACCAAGAGGAGGATGTGGCAAAGCTCAAAATTAAAATTAATGACTTACTCTCAAAAGTAAATCCCTAAATCTCCGAGCTCTGCAGGCCTATTTTAGGACCCAGTGTTGACACGGTCCTACTGGGGATCCTAATAGCAATGCCACTGAATTGGAAGTTAAGACTACCACGTGGCAACTTCTGCTTCCTCTTTAGGAACACACTGTTGAATGGGGAATTGACCCTGAATATTAAAAGAAAATAGGGTTGGCACTCCATCTTGGGAACTGGAGGAAGTTTAAGATGAATCCTGGTACAGCTCCATGAGTGATCATGTTTGGGGTAAAGGTTAGTAGAAGACCAAAGCGTGCAATAGCCCTGCCACGTGACCACGGGCATGCCTTGCCCATACCACACCATTATGTGAATGAAAGCAAGGTGCTCTCTTTGGGTAGCTGAAGTCTGGTGGCTTCATGTGTTGGCAAGCCAAGTGCAAGCTGGATTTTTGCCTCCAAACTTAGCCACCTCTGGGGGCCCTTGTGCAGGTTACATCACTTAGGGTTCTAAGCAGGAGCCCTGCCATGGGCTTCATGAGCGAAGGTTTAGGTTACCTCACTAGACAAAAAGCCCTGACTAGGTAAGGTGCTGAAGGCAACTGGATAGTGGAATGAGCAGTGGAGGAGGGATTTCAGAACTACCAGTTGTACTATTGTGACCAGTTGAATAAACAAGGACTATAACTTTTCATAATTTAAATGATTTTTCCTGCCCTTTCTTCCTCCTTTTCTTTACTACTGAATATTCAATGTGTTGGCTGTGGTTTGGCTTGTCCTTTGGTCTGCAGAAGTGAGTAGACATTGAGATAGAGCTAGAAGTAAAGTGAATCTGCCGGAGCCTAGTGGTCCCATGACATCACTTCTAGAAGCAGTAGTTGGGTGCGAGGCTGGTTCTCCCATTGGTGAAAAAGTGAGTGTGTATGTATTAGGACATGTGTGTATGTAGATTAGGACAGTTACTTGGGTTAGACTGAGATATTTGGGAAATCGTGTGTGTGTCCTTCTCTGCCCAGTACTTCTTCCTAGCCTTCATTTTGTAGCAGAGCCTGCCCCAGCCATAAGGGTGGGCACGTGAACAAGGCTAGGCCAATCACACAGACTGCTTCACCCCTGAAGCCAAAAATGTTTCATACAGGAATGGAGATTAGGCCGATAGACTCTCTCAGGAGTTTAGAACCTGAACCTACAGAGAGAGGAGACAGACAGTTGAAGCTGAAGTCATCAGATATGAGTGTCTGAAAGAGATGATCTTGTGTTCCTTCTGCTAAGCTCCCCAGAGAATCCTGCTCCTGTCCTGCCCAAAGCTTGGTTGTGAAGCTGTTCACCAGCATCCTTCCAATAATTCGCTTTGTGGTTAAATTCATTATGTACATTTCTACTGTTTGTAGCCAAAGAACCTTAGCTACTATAACTATGCAGGGATTAAAGGGGAAAAAAAGGAAGCTCCTAGATATTTTAAGAAAAACAGCAAGATACAGAATAGTATATGTAACACATTACCATTTGTGTAAGAAAATAAAATGGAACATCCTTGCATAGGCATAGAATACTTCTGGACTGGACTGTCAAATAGA